TCTTAAAGTAATATTAGAAGTATTCCTGTAAAGTATATTAGAAGTATTCCAGGTATCTTAAGTAATATTAGAAGTATTCCGCTTTTATAAGCGAGTCGCTCTGCATGATCACATGCAGCGGTGAGCGGAACAACACACACTTCAGGTTAGAATATCACACGCAGCTATTTTAATGACCTCTCAAACTACCGTAACTAGTTATAGATATGTTTAGTTTTACTGTGGGTCACTCATTACTGATCCGGTGTCAGGAGAGAGAGAGAGCACTCCGTTTATTATTCCTTGTTTTTGTAAGTTACTGTTCACTTTTGAATAATGTAGTTAATCTACTATAATTAGTTTGTTTAATATTGAATCATATCAATTTGTTTTAAAGCTCAATAAATAACAAAGAAGACCTTTGACCGCACTTTTCTCATTTAGTCCGGAAGATTTAAACTTGAACGGACATGTTGACCGGCGAAACAATATTCTAACGGGAACTGTGACGTGTGCATGTATGAATATATCAACATGTAACGATGCTTCTTTAGATGCTGGTGTGTCTGAGGCTCTGAATGTAGGGATTACTTTACTCGTTGTTATTGTTTGTGTTAGACGATACAATCAGTAAAAACCACGGTCTCATTTGTACAGCATATATTTTGCTTCCCATTTCTAAATGAAAAACACTCGTTATGCATTTTCTAAACACATGAAAAGACTTTGAGCTGATGGAGAAGTGTTGAGGCGTTACCTGCTCCACGTTGAAGAAGCCGGCAGACTGCAGCACCTGACACAGAGACTCCACCAGCTTGATCTTATCCGCAGGGTCCATCCCTTTGTTGATGATTTCAAACAGGCAGTCACAGGCCTCCTCACGCAGCTCCATCACCGACATCTGGCTCAGCAGCAGGTTCACAAAGCTGGGAACACATGTTGAATATATATGAAATACACATGAGGGAGAAGAAGGAGAGTTCAACCGAGCAGCTGTTTTAAACACGCTGCAGAGTCTAGAGCGTGCAGGTGGTCTCTAAAGGGTCCACAGGAACATGAGGGCATTCTCCCAGGTGGCCGTACCGGTCGTTGGCGATGAGGTTGAGGTCGATCCAGGACACGAAGGCGCCCACGACCTCCAGACACTGGCAGGTGATCTCGGGGTGAGACTGCTGGTACGTCTGCAGGATCTGGAACCAGGACTCCACCAGCGTGGGGATGCACCGCTCCCTCATCTGGTCCTTGATCAGGGTGTTCCTGCGGATCTCCTGGGGAGACAGTTTCATCCCACAGGCCACAAGGCTGTTAAACACCTGGACACCCATAACACTCAACTGTTTGCAACTCACATCAATACTCCAATGACTGCATATCGACCCGTCTGCACACTTTCTATCATATCATATGTTATTGTGCTGCTGTTGGAGGAGGAGCCTGTGACCTCACACTTTCATTGTCTGAACTAAACTGTATTAGAAGTATTCCAGGTATCTTAAAGTAATATTAGAAGTATTCCAGGTATCTTAAAGTAATATTAGAAGTATTCCAGGTATCTTAAAGTAATATTAGAAGTATTCCAGGTATCTTAAAGTGATATTAGAAGTATTCCAGGTATCTTAAAGTAATATTAGAAGTATTCCAGGTATCTTAAAGTAATATTAGAAGTATTCCAGGTATCTTAAAGTAATATTAGAAGTATTCCAGGTATCTTAAAGTGATATTAGAAGTATTCCAGGTATCTTAAAGTGATATTAGAAGTATTCCAGGTATCTTAAAGTAATATTAGAAGTATTCCAGGTATCTTAAAGTGATATTAGAAGTATTCCAGGTATCTTAAAGTAATATTAGAAGTATTCCAGGTATCTTAAAGTAATATTAGAAGTATTCCAGGTATCTTAAAGTAATATTAGAAGTATTCCAGGTATCTTAAAGT